GTGTGTAGGTTTATACTGTAATGGAAGGTTGGTGTGTAGGTTTATACTGTAATGGAAGGTTGGTGTGTAGAGTTTATACTGTAATGGAAGGTTGGTGTGTAGGTTTATACTGTAATGGAAGGTTGGTGTGTAGGTTTATACTGTAATGGAAGGTTGGTGTGTAGGTTTATACTGTAATGGAAGGAAGGTTGGTGTGTATGGTTTATACTGTAATGGAAGGTTGGTGTGTAGGTTTATACTGTAATGGAAGGTTGGTGTGTAGGTTTATACTGTAATGGAAGGTTGGTGTGTAGGTTTATACTGTAATGGAAGGTTGGTGTGTAGGTTTATACTGTAATGGAAGGTTGGTGTGTAGGTTTATACTGTAATGGAAAGGTTGGTGTGTAGGTTTATACTGTAATGGAAGGTTGGTGTGTAGGTTTATACTGTAATGGAAGGTTGGTGTGTAGGTTTATACTGTGATGGAAGGTGTTGGTGTGTAGGTTTATACTGTAATGGAAGGTTGGTGTGTAGGTTTATACTGTAATGGAAGGTGGTTTATGTGTAATGGAAGGTTGTGTAGGTTTATACTGTAATGGAAGGTCTGAAGGTGTGTAGGTTTATACTGTGATGGAAAGGTCTGTGTGTAGGTTTATACTGTGATGGAAGGTTGGTGTGTAGGTTTATACTGTAATGGAAGGTTGGTGTGTAGGTTTATACTGTAATGGAAGGTTGGTGTGTAGGTTTATACTGTAATGGAAGGTTGGTGTGTAGGTTTATACTGTAATGGAAGGTGGTGTGTAGGTTTATACTGTAATGGAAGGTTGGTGTGTAGAGTTTATACTGTAATGGAAGGTTAGTGTGTAGGTTTATACTGTAATGGAAGGTTGGTGTGTAGGTTTATACTGTAATGGAAGGTTGGTGTGTAGAGTTTATACTGTAATGGAAGAAGTTGGTGTGTAGGTTTATACTGTAATGGAAGGTTGGTGTGTAGGTTTATACTGTAATGGAAGGTTGGTGTGTAGGTTTATACTGTAATGGAAGGTTGGTGTGTAGGTTTATACTGTAATGGAAGGTTGGTGTGTAGGTTTATACTGTAATGGAAGGTTGGTGTGTAGGTTTATACTGTAATGGAAGGTTGGTGTGTAGGTTTATACTGTAATGGAAGGTTGGTGTGTAGGTTTTATAATGTAATGGAAAGGTAATGGAAGGTGTGTAGGTTTATACTGTAATGGAAGGTTGGTGTGTAGGTTTATACTGTAATGGAAGGTTGGTGTGTAGGTTTATACTGTAATGGAAGGTTGGTGTGTAGGTTTATACTGTAATGGAAGGTTGGTGTGTAGGTTTATACTGTAATGGAAGGTTGGTGTGTAGGTTTATACTGTAATGGAAGGTTGGTGTGTAGGTTTTATACTGTAATGGAAGGTTGGTGTGTAGGTTTATACTGTAAATGGAAGGTTGGTGTGTAGGTTTATACTGTAATGGAAGGTTGGTGTGTAGGTTTATACTGTAATGGAAGGTTGGTGTGTGCAAGGTTTATACTGTAATGGAAGGTTGGTGTGTAGGTTTATACTGTGATGGAAGGTTGGTGTGTAGGTTTATACTGTAATGGAAGGTTGGTGTGTAGGTTTATACTGTAATGGAAGGTTGGTGTGTAGGTTTATACTGTAATGGAAGGTCAGTGTGTAGGTTTATACTGTAATGGAAGGTTGGTGTGTAGGTTTATACTGTAATGGAAGGTTGGTGTGTAGGTTTATACTGTACTGTGATGGAAGGTTGGTGTGTAGGTTTATACTGTAATGGAAGGTTGGTGTGTAGGTTTATACTGTAATGGAAGGTTGGTGTGTAGGTTTATACTGTAATGGAAGGTTGGTGTGTAGGTTTATACTGTAATGGAAGGTTGTGTGTGTATACTTTATACTGTAATGGAAGGTTGGTGTGTAGGTTTATACTGTAATGGAAGGTTGGTGTGTAGGTTTATACTGTAATGGAAGGTTGGTGTGTAGGTTTATACTGTGATGGAAGGTCTGTGTGTAGGTTTATACTGTAATGGAAGGTTGGTGTGTAGGTTTATACTGTAATGGAAGGTTGGTGTGTAGAGGTTTATACTGTAATGGAAGGTTGGTGTGTAGGTTTATACTGTAATGGAAGGTTGGTGTGTAGGTTTATACTGTAATGGAAGGTTGGTGTGTAGGTTTATACTGTAATGGAAGGTCGGTGTGTAGGTTTATACTGTAATGGAAGGTTGGTGTGTAGGTTTATACTGTAATGGAAGGTTGTGTGTGTAGGTTTATACTGTAATGGAAGGTTGGTGTGTAGGTTTATACTGTAATGGAAGGTTGGTGTGTAGGTATACTGTAATGGAAGGTTTTATATACTGTAATGGAAGGTTGGTGTGTAGAGTTTATACTGTAATGGAAGGTTGGTGTGTAGGTTTATACTGTAATGGAAGGTTGGTGTGTAGGTTTATACTGTAATGGAAGGTTGGTGTGTAGGTTTATACTGTAATGGAAGGTTGGTGTGTAGGTTTATACTGTAATGGAAGGTTGGTGTGTAGGTTTATACTGTAATGGAAGGTTGGTGTGTAGGTTTATACTGTGATGGAAGGTTGGTGTGTAGGTTTATACTGTAATGGAAGGTTGGTGTGTAGGTTTATACTGTAATGGAAGGTTGGTGTGTAGGTTTATACTGTAATGGAAGGTCTGGTGTGTAGGTTTATACTGTAATGGAAGGTTGGTGTGTAGGTTTATACTGTAATGGAAGGTTGGTGTGTAGGATAATACTGTTATGGAAGGTCTGTGTGTATGTTTATACCGTAATGGAAGGATGGTGTGCTGGTTTATACTGTGATGGAAGATCGGTGTTTTGGTTTATACTGTAATGGAAGGTTTGTGTGCAGGTTTGTACTGTAATGGTAGGTCGGTGTATAATTTTATACTGTAATCTAAGGTTGGTGTGTACGTTTGTGCTGTAATGGAAGGTCGGTGTGTAGGTTTATACTGTTATGGAAGATCGGTGTGTAGGTTTATAATGTGATTGAAGGTCTGTGTGTAGGTTTATACTGTAATGGTAGGTCGGTGTATAGGTTTGTACTGTAATGGAAGGTCGGTGTGTAGGTTTATACTGTGATGGAAGGTCTGTGTCTAGGTTTATACTATAATGGATGGTTGGTGTGTAGGTTTATACTGTAATGGAAGGTTGGTGTATAGGTTTGTACCCTAATGAAAGGTTGGTGTGTAGGTTTATACTGTGATGCAACGTCAGTGTGTAGGTTTATACAGTAATGGAAGGTTGGTGTGTAGGTTTATACTGTAATGGAAGGTGGGTGTGTAGGTTTATACTATGATGGAAGGTCGGTGTATAATTTTATACTGTAATCTAAGGTTGGTGTGTACGTTTGTGCTGTAATGGAAGGTCGGTGTGTAGGTTTATACTGTAATTGGTGGTCGGTGTATAGGTTTATACTGTGATGGAATGTCTGTGTGTAGGTTTATACTGTAATGGAAGGACGGGTATGGGTTTATACTGTAATGGAAGGTCGGTGTATAGGTTTATAGTGTGATGGAATGTATGTGTGTAGGTTTATACTGTAATAGAAGGTTGGTGTGTAGGTTTATACCGTAATGGAAGGTCGGTGTATAGGTTTATACTGTTATGGAATGTTGGTGTGTAGGTTTATACTGTGATGGAAGGATGGTGTTTAGGTTTATACTGTGATGGAAGGTCTGTGTGTAATTTTATACTGTAATGGAAGTTTGGTGTGCAGGTTTATACAGTAATGGAAGGTTGGTGTGAAGGTTTGTACTGTACTGAAAGCTTGGTGTGTAGGTTTATACTGTAATGGAAGTTTGATGTAGGTTTATACTGTAAAGGAAGGTTGGTATGTAGGTTTATACTGTCATGGAAGGTCGGTGTATAGGTTTATACTGTGATGGAAGGTTGGTGTGTAGGTTTATACTGTAATGGAAGGTTGGTGTGTAGGTTTATACTGTAATGGAAGGTTGGTGTGTAGGGTGTGTAGGTTTATACTGTAATGGAAGGTCTGTGTGTAGGTTTATACTGTAATGGAAGGTTGGTGTGTAGGTTTATAGTGTGATGGAAGGTTGGTGTGTAGGTTTATACTCTAATGGAAGGTTGGTGTGTAAGTTTATAGTGTGATGGAAGGTCTGTGTGTAGGTTTATACTGTAATGGAAGGTTGGTGTGTTGGTTTATAGTGTGGTGGAAGGTCTTTGTGTGTGTTTATACTGTAATGGAAGGTTGGTGTTTAGGTTTATACTGTAATGGAAGTTTGGTGTATAGGTTTATACTGTAATGGAAGGTGAGTGTATAGGTTTATACTGTATTGGAAGGTTGGTGTAGGTTTATACTGTAATGGAAGGTTGGTGTGTAGGCTTATACTGTGATGAAAGGTTGGTGTGTAGGTTTATATTGTAATGGAAGGTCGGTGTGTAGAGTTTATACTGTAATGGAAGGTCAGTGTGTAGGTTTATACTGTGATGGAAGGTTGGTGTAGGTTTATACTGTAATGGAAGGTTGGTGTGTAGGTTTATACTGTGATTGAAGGTCGGTGTGTAGGTTTATTCTGTGATGGTAGGTCAGTGTGTAGGTTTATACTGTGAATGGAAGTGTAGGTTTATACTGTAATAGAAGGTCAGTGTAGGTTTATACTGTACTGAAGGTTGGTGTGTAGGTGTATGGAAGGTTGGTGTGTAGGTTGTAGGTTTATTCTGTTATTGTAAGGAAGGTCGGTGTGTAGGTTTATACTGTAATGGAAGGTAATGGGTGTGGGTAGAGGTTTATACTGTGATGGAAGGTTGGTGGAGTGTAGGTGGTCATATATCAAATGGTAAGGTTGGTGTGAAAGGTTTATACTGTAACACATTGTCAAAGTTTGTCTTGAGGACCTTGTGTGACCTGTGCCAGTGCAGTTTATACTGTAATGGAAGGTGGGTGTGTAGGTTTATAACTGTCGATGTAATGGACAGTGGTCCTCGTTGTGGAAGGCAGGTTTATACTGTAATGGATCACAACCCCGGGCGGACCAACTGTAGGTTTATACTGTGATGCCTGTATTGGCCAGCTGTTGAGAGTCTTAATGTGACCTTGCATTAAGCTGCTGCGTGATCGATATGTCAATGAATATCTGGCAAGAGATCGATTAATCACAGAAACAGCTCTGCTCAAGTTATTTTGCTCGGTTTTAAGCATATGTCTGTTCGGGGATGCAATCAGCGTGGCGTAATTTCAATGTTCATGTCAGCAAGAGTCGCCTTCGACATGTGCTCTTTGATTATCATGGCGGGAGGGCGACTGTTTAGTTCAGTGTGTGGAAGCGGTATATATGGTTCTTGTGTACAAGAAAGGTCATCATAACATGCCGCCGCCACAGTGTTTCTCGCGTACTCAAAACAATGACACTCCCTAAAACTAGTCGGTGTCGGCCAACTAAAGATTACTCTCAGATCTGTAAAATTCAACAATGAATGGATATATTCCTGCACAGCGTAACATGATGGTACTCTAAACAGACGGATGATATAGAATTCTACACAGTGAAGCATGATGATATTTTCTACAACAGAAACAGCTATATTCCTACACAATGTAACATGATTATGTTCTATACAGCGGGAACGTATATAATACTACACAATGCAACATGATTATGTTCTATACAGCGGGAACGTATATAATACTACACAATGCAACATGATTATGTTCTATACAGCGGGAACGTATATAATACTACACAATGTAACATGATTATGTTCTATACAGCGGGAACGTATATAATACTAGACAGTGTAACATGATTATGTTCTATACAGCGGGAACGTATATAATACTACACAATGTAACATGATTATGTTTTATACAGCGGGAATATATATAATACTACCCAATGTAACATGATTATGTTCTATACAGCGGGAACGTATATAATACTACACAATGTAACATGATTATGTTTTATACAGCGGGAATATATATAATACTACCCAATGTAACATGATTATGTTCTATACAGCGGGAACGTATATAATACTACACAGTGTAACATGATTATGTTCTATACAGCGGGAACGTATATAATACTACACAATGTAACATGATTATGTTCTATACAGCGGGAACGTATATAATACTACACAGTGTAACATGATTATGTTTTATACAGCGGGAATATATATAATACTACCCAATGTAACATGATTATGTTCTATACAGCGGGAACGTATATAATACTACACAATGTAACATGATTATGTTCTATATAGCCGGTTGAGTGTATAGCCACACCACCACCGTCAGTCACTGCTGGGTGAGGTGGACGACAGGGTTGAGTGTATAACGACACCACCACCGTCAGTCACTGCTGGGTGAGGTGGACGACAGGGTTGAGTGTATAACGACACCACCACCGTCAGTCACTGCTGGGTGAGGTGGACGACAGGGTTGAGTGTATAACGACACCACCACCGTCAGTCACTGCTGGGTGAGGTGGACGACTGGGTTGAGTGTATAACGACACCACCACCGTCAGTCACTGCTGGGTGAGGTGGACGACAGGGTTGAGTGTATAACGACACCACCACCGTCAGTCACTGCTGGGTGAGGTGGACGACAGGGTTGAGTGTATAACGACACCACCACCGTCAGTCACTGCTGGGTGAGGTGTACGACAGGGTTGAGTGTATAACGACACCACCGCCGTCAGTCACTGCCGCAGTGAATGGCACAGTGTTATTTAGACGTGCCTGAATTATACAAATTAATATATTTACATAGTTTATATATGTTGTGTAAGGGAACTTAAGTTAGCACTGCCCTATTTCACCTCGCTGTTCCCATCCTACCGTTTACCTCCCCCGGCCGAAGCCTTGCCACACACCCCACGGCTGACACGATGTCTACCGTTTACCTCCCCCGGCCGAAGCCTTGCCACACACCCCACGGCTGACACGATGTCTACTGTTTCCCAACGTTGGCTGATTTATTGCCAGTTCCATTTGATAAGAGCAACTGACAACGAATGATTTATTGATTTGTGTGCAGGGTACCGATGCTTCCTCAGTTAACTGTTCCATTGAGACCCCTGACCGGCTGTCCGTCTGACCATCTCCGTACCCTGGGGAAAACGGGAAGATACGTAGTCATGTAAAACGAAAGTAGAAAGTATAACGTAATCTACTAATCTACTAAGTGGCCCTGGTGTCTCTGTTATGTTTTAAGCCAACGATTCCTGAATACAGGTTCACGCATGCTCTCCGATAAATTCAATTCCAATACCCAAGTGACAAGAGTATTGATCTCCAGAAAACCGTTATAATGTCCCATGATGCCCCCATTGTTGCCTGCATTGTTCAAATACAGGCATCAGAACGGTCTGTTCCATTGCTTCCGTCTCCACTTTACGTCGACCTTGAACATGTTGAAGACCGTCCGCTAATCAATATGAAACAATACTTCCAATAGAAATACAATTGCTGGCTAAAGTATTGTATATAGGAAACCAGTTATGTTTGTATTTCAATCCCAACTCCAACTGGTGTACTAGTAGGGTAATGGCAGGACTGCATGGTGTAAGATAAAAATTGCTGGTTGCGAAGATTCGTTCACTCAGTGGTCGTTGTGGTATTTATTCAGCTATATGTAATTAGCTGACACATGCAATGATATGGTAGGGGTTTACAATAGGATTGTCTGGATTCACAATGTTACACGTGATTGTAAGGTGATGCAGTCAGTGGGTATACCATAGGATTGTCCCGATTCACAGCTGTACACGTGATTGTAAGGTGATGCAGTCAGTGGGTTTACTATAGGTTTGTTCCGATTCACAATGTTACACGTGATTGTAAGGTGATGCAGTCAGTGGGTTTACTATAGGATTGTCCCGATTCACAATGGTACACGTGATTGTAAGGTGATGCAGTCAGTGAGTATACCATAGGATTGTCCCGATTCACAATGTTACACGTGATTGTAAGGTGATGCAGTCAGTGGGTATACCATAGGATTGTGCCGATTCACAATGTTACACGCGATTGTAAGGTGATGCAGTCAGTGGGTATACCATAGGATTGTGCCGATTCACAGCTGTTACACGTGATTGTAAGGTGATGCAGTCAGTGGGTATACCATAGGATTGTGCCGATTCACAGCTGTACACGTGATTGTTAGGTGATGCAGTCAGTGGGTATACCATAGGATTGTCCCGATTCACAGCTGTACACGTGATTGTAAGGTGATGCAGTCAGTGGGTATACCATAGGATTGTCCCGATTCACAGCTGTACACGTGATTGTAAGGTGATGCAGTCAGTGGGTATACCATAGGATTGTTCCGATTCACAATGTTACACGTGATTGTAAGGTGATGCAGTCAGTGGGTATACCATAGGATTGTGCCGATTCACAGCTGTACACGTGATTGTAAGGTGATGCAGTCAGTGGGTATACCATAGGATTGTGCCGATTCACAATGTTACAAGTGATTGTAAGGTGATGCAGTCAGTGGGTATACCATAGGATTGTCCCGATTCACAATGTTACACGTGATTGTAAGGTGATGCAGTCAGTGGGTTTACCATAGGATTGTCCCGATTCACAAGCTGTACACGTGATTGTAAGGTGATGCAGTCAGTGGGTTTACTATAGGATTGTCCCGATTCACAATGTTATACGTGATTGTAAGGTGATGCAGTCAGTGGGTATACCATAGGATTGTCCCGATTCACAGCTGTACACGTGATTGTAAGGTGATGCAGTCAGTGGGTATACCATAGGATTGTCCCGATTCACAATGTTACACGTGATTGTAAGGTGATGCAGTCAGTGGGTATACCATAGGATTGTCCCGATTCACAGCTGTACACGTGATTGTAAGGTGATGCAGTCAGTGGGTATACCATAGGATTGTCCCGATTCACAGCTGTACACGTGATTGTAAGGTGATGCAGTCAGTGGGTATACCATAGGATTGTCCCGATTCACAATGTTACACGTGATTGTAAGGTGATGCAGTCAGTGGGTATACCATAGGATTGTCCCGATTCACAGCTGTACACGTGATTGTAAGGTGATGCAGTCAGTGGGTTATACCATAGGATTGTCCCGATTCACAATGTTACACGTGATTGTAAAAAGGTGATGCAGTCAGTGGGTATACCATAGGATTGTCCCGATTCACAGCTGTACACGTGATTGTTAAGGTGATGCAGTCAGTGGGTATACCATAGGATTGTCCGGATTAACAGCTGTACACGTGATTGTAAGGTGATGCAGTCAGTGGGTTTACTATAGGATTGTCCCGATTCACAATGTTACACGTGATTGTAAGGTGATGCAGTCAGTGGGTTTACCATAGGATTGTCCCGATTCACAATGTTACACGTGATTGTAAGGTGATGCAGTCAGTGGGTTTACCATAGGATTGTCCCGATTCACAATGTTACACGTGATTGTAAGGTGATGCAGTCAGTGGGTTTACTATAGGATTGTCCCGATTCACAATGTTACACGTGATTGTAAGATGATGCAGTCAGTGGGTTTACCATAGGATTGTCCCGATTCACAGTGGTACACGTGATTGTAAGGTGATGCAGTCAGTGGGTATGCAATAGGACCCTGTCATAACGCCGGGTGTAATGACCCACGTCTGCACAAGGCACCCAGGACACACCACTGTTGACCCACGTCTGCACAAGGCACCCAGGACACACCACCCACTGTTGACCCGGTTGTCGTCAGAGAGTACTACACCAGGACCCACCACAAGGCACCCAGGACACACCACCCGCTGTTGACCCACGTCTACACAAGGCACCCAGGACACACCACTGTTGACCCACGTCTACACAAGGCACCCAGGACACACCACTGTTGACCCACGTCTACACAAGGCACCCAGGACCCACGACCCACGTCTACACAAGGCACCCAGGACACACCACCCACTGTTGACCCACGTCTACAGGCAAGGCTGTTGACCCACGTCTGCACAAGGCACCTAGGACACACCACTGTTGACCCACGTCTGCACAAGGCACCCAGAACACACCACTGTTGACCCACGTCTACACAAGGCACCCAGGACACATCAGATCTACCACGACGGAGTCAACAACATCCGTACAGCGAAATAATAAGTTCATTATTGAAACCACACTGACTTCATCAGCTCAGGGGTTTTAATTATTCAGTAATCTATTTCCCCAGTGAATGAAGTAACAATAATGAATAATAATACTGCAGTACCTACAGGGACTGTATTGTGTAGATAACCCAGGGTTCACACACCTTCTCTCGATGATACTGCAGTACCTACAGAAACTGTAATTCGTAGATAACTCAGGGTTCACACACCTTCTCTCGCTGATACTGCCGTAGCTACAGAAACTGTTGGTGCTGTCTCTTTCAACAAGATGAGTTGATAGGCCAGTAGGTCCCTTGAGGGAAGGTTCGTTGAAGCCAGTAACCATGGTAACGGTCGTTGGGGCATGATTATATTATACAATGCAGCGATGACATGCTCTCAGAATGTCAACAATAGACAATAGCACTGATTCGTCTGGTAATCACGTGTTTTTGTTGTGAGTAAATCTGTGTTGGATTTGCGTTTCCTGTTGGAATGGGATGAGAAGAATTACTTTTGGATAAAGTCGAGTTGATGATGCGTGTGTTGCAGGACAGCTGGTACGGTGGGCGGAATGGGGAGGGGACGGTTAATGTGAAGATGATGAAGGAGGATGAAGGGGACGAGGAGAGGAGTGTGGATTGGACGAGGATAGGAATGTGGAGTAGAGGAGGAGAGGAATGTGGAGGGGGCGACGAGAGGAATGTGGAGACGACGAGTATAGGAATGTGGATGGGACAAGGAAAGGAATGTGGAAAGGGCGAGGAGAGGAATGGGGGGGGGGGGAGAGGCATATGGAGGGGTCGAGGAAAGTTGGAGAGTGAGGATGATGTGGAGGGGAGAGTGATGTTGTTGTGGACTAGTAAGGAATGAGTAATATGGACGAGAGGGGGAGGTTGATGTAGAGGGGCCGATAATGGCTTAAAGGAGAGAATATATATACAATATATCATTGTGGGTTAAGCACGGACATACAGTAACAGGACAGTACTGACATTGTATTTCTCAGTTACACTAGCTCTTGGAAACTAAACCCACTGCCTAGTCGACTGTCACTCTCTTGTATTATATACCAGTGTATTAGAAAGCTGGTCTGCATGTCGCTACAGCGAGGATAGAGTATTGGCACAAACTGTACATGGTCGACATTATTAATTAACTGGTGTCTGAAACCTGTGAAGTTGCTTACATTCACAACAGAAAACAAGAGTTTCGAGTTGATACGGGAACTACCACGAGCAGCTTCAACGTCCGCCATTAGTAATGTATAACCCTACCGTATGTTGTCTATCGGGTATATTCTCCAGGGGCCACTTTGTCTCCAATGTTCATGCCAAGTGCAGTGAGCATCTGTCCTCTAACGTAAACGCTGCCTTCAGGGGAACAGTTGACTAATTGCTCATTACACACTCTTGTTTCAAAACAATTAACTTGTCAACATGTACATTGAAGAAGATTGGCATTTGTCATTTGTCGACATATTGTATAACACGTTGCGTGATCTCGGAGAAGCTTTTGCCATAATTGCTTTTGTCGCTGCTGATGGCCAAAACTATTGGTGGGACGGCTGCCTGCTGATCACGTGACCAGTATCTTGACTCTCTCATTGTCAACTTTGGTAATGCCACAGTTTCCCGACCAAGGGATTCATTTGGTTGCTGTTCCACATCACCGCAATTTAAAAGGTTTTTTTTCATATGTTATGTTCAATAGTCTATTAACGAGATTGATGAATTCTTTCCAAAACGTGTCTGATAGTTGGACATTCAATCTATACATGATAGATGTTCTCACTTACCGACTGACTGACTGACTGAGTTTGGTTTTACGCCGCTTTTAGCAATATTCCAGCAACATCACGGCGGGGGACAACAGAAATGGGCTTCACACATTGTACCCATGTGGGGATTCGAACCCGGGTCTATGGCGTGACGAGCCAACGCTTTAACCACTAGGCTACCCTACTGCCCCCTCACTTACCGAACCACAGGATGAACATAAATCATTATCAACCAGTTTCATTTTAAGCAACTCCCTTTTTGTATAAATGGCTTCATATAAATTTATATTGAAACTTAGATTTTCTATATTGTAGAAATATAGTCTTTCAATTTAAATGATCACTCAATTCGCTGTCCCATTTATGACAGACTTTGGGAACAAACTTTTAAAGCAATTTTCACATGTTTGTATATGTTAGAGGTGTATTTTAAATGTATATGTCTATAGTCGTCAATTAAAAATTGACATTTACCCCCAACATTGTCATGTGATATGTTTGCATGCGAATGAAAGAAGAGTGAAGGCTTCCATACCAGTCTCATTTGTTGTTTTTAGTCTCCCACTGGCCTCTCATAATTCTGTGCCAGTTGTTATTCAATTACATGTTGTTGTTAATGTTAATCTGCTGTTTGTCAAAACATACTACGAGGGGCGATCAAAAAGTATGTAGAATCACCAAGAAAACGATACAAATGCAGTTATTTTCATGTTGTATTTTTCTACATATTATCTGTCAAGCTCAAGCAGTTTGGTTTTGCTATGTTCCAGCCTCACGATCCCCATTTTGTTTGACCAAAATCTACAATAAATGCATCAAAAACTTCAGGAAAAATATTATGCAAGAAATATTTTGTGTTTGAGATTGATAGAAGTCCCCTAGAATCACACTTAGATATTAAAGTTCATAAAAGAGCAATTTGAAATTAGAATCGCTTGTTAAAGTGACTCGCCCCTTCACGTTGACTGAAAGAGTTTGTTTTGGAGACACTACCCATCCCCCTTTCTGATCACGTAATCATAAGGGCATAGCTTATTCTAATGTTTTCACTATGCATACATGATGCCAAGGGTTCAAACTAAATACTGAATGGTCACACAAGTTTCAGCTCACAATATATTGTAAACAGTGACAGCTTGAATATCTGGACACAAAGATTAAACTGGGGGTATCCTAAAAAAATAGCCCCCAACTAAATATAAATCAGGCCAACCAAATCTTTGACTGTTGATCATGACGGGAAGTCATCCAATACTATACTGAATATATTTTATATGACATTATCTGAGGGCATACCATTATCCAAGAGGTACCAAAAGACAAATCGTTTTTCATTTTCTGCAAGTTTGAGGTTCCTGAGAGGTATATAGAAGTTGGTGTTCAAGTAAATCGCAAATATTACGGATGACAACTTATATTGTATATCACAACGTTTCTGGGTTATTCCTTGCCTCTTCGTCAGGTGAATTGTAGCAAACAAGATACATCAATGAGTATATAATGCTAAATGTACAGGATACATCAATGAGTATATATAATAAATGTACAAGATACATCAATGAGTATATATACTAAATGTACAGGATACACCAATGAGTATATATACTAAATGTACAAGATACATCAATGAGTATAGATACTAAATGTACAAGATACATCAATGAGTATAGATACTAAATGTACAGGATACATCAATGAGCATAGATACTAAATGTACAGGATACATCAATGAGTATAGATACTAAATGTACAAGACACATCAATGAGTATATATACTAAATGTACAAGATACATCAATGAGTATATATACTAAATGTACAAGATACATCAATGAGTATATATACTAAATGTACAAGATACATCAATGAGTAACAAGATACATCAATGATATATATACTAAATGTACAAGATACATCAATGAGTATATATACTAAATGTACAAGATACATCAATGAGTATAGATACTAAATGTACAAGATACATCAATGAGTATATATACTAAATGTACAAGATACATCAATGAGTATAGATACTAAATGTACAAGATACATCAATGAGTATATATACTAAATGTACAAGATACATCAATGAGCATATATACTAAATGTACAAGATACATCAATGAGTATATATATATACTAAATGTACAAGATACATCAATGAGTATATATACTAAAATACATCAATGAGTATATAGACTACATGCACAAGATACATCAATATATATACTAAATGTACAAGATACATCAATGAGTATATATACTAAATGTACAAGATACATCAATGAGTATATATACTAAATGTACAAGATACATCAATGAGCATATATACTAAATGTACAAGATACATCAATGAGTATATATACTAAATGTACAAGATACATCAATGAGTATATATACTAAATGTACAAGATACATCAATGAGCATACTAAATGTACAAGATACATCAATGAGTATATATACTAAATGATTCACAAGATACATCAATGAGTATATATACTAAATGTACAAGATACATCAATGAGTATATATATCAATGATATATACTAAATGTACAAGATACATCAATGAGTATATATACTAAATGTACAAGATACATCAATGAGTATATATACTAAATGTACAAGATACATCAATGAGTATATATACTAAATGTACAGGATACATCAATGAGTATATATACTAAATGTACAAGATACATCAATGAGTATATACTAAATGTACAAGATACATCAATGAGTATATATATACTAAATGTACAAGATACATCAATGAGTATATATACTAAATGTACAAGATACATCAATGAGTATATATACTAAATGTACAGGATACATCAATGAGTATATATACTAAGGATGTCAACAAATACATCAATGAGATACATCAATGAGTATATATACTAAATGTACAAGATACATCAATGAGTATATATACTAAATGTACAAGATACATCAATGAGTATATATACTAAATGTACAATACATCAACATACAAGATACATCAAGTAGTATATATACTAAATGTACAAGATACATCAATGAGTATATATATACTAAATGTACAAGATACATCAATGAGTATATACTAAATGTACAAGATACATCAATGAGTATATATATACTAAATGTACAAGATACATCAATGAGTATATATACTAAATGTACAGGATACATCAATGAGTATATATACTAAATGTACAAGATACATCAATGAGTATATATACTAAATGTACAAGATACATCAATGAGTATATATATACTAAATGTACAGGATACATCAATGAGTATATATACTAAATGTACAAGATACATCAATGAGTATATATACTAAATGTACAAGATACATCAATGAGTATATATACTAAATGTACAAGATACATCAATGAGTATATATACTAAATGTACAAGATACATCAATGAGTATATATACTAAATGTACAGAGATACATCAATGAGTATATATACTAAATGTACAAGATACATCAATGAGTATATATACTAAATGTACAAGATACATCAATGAGTATATATACTAAATGTACAAGATACATCAATATAAATGTACAAGATACATCAATGAGTATATAAATGCAAGATATAAATTACAAATGTACAAGATACATCAATGAGCATATATAGATACTAAATGTACAAGATACATCAATGAGTATATATACTAAATGTACAAGATACATCAAATGAGTATATATACTAAATGTACAAGATACATCAATGAGTATATATACTAAATGTACAAGATACATCAATGATATATATACTAAATGTGCAAGATACATCAATGAGTATATATACTAAATGTACAAGATACATCAAGATACATCAATGAGTATATATACTAAATGTACAAGATACATCAATGAGTATATATATACTAAATGTACAAGATACATCAATGAGTATATATACTAAATGTACAAGATACATCAATGAGTATATATATATATATCAATAAATGTACAAGATACATCAATGAGTATATATACTAAATGTACAAGATACATCAATGAGTATAGATACTAAATGTACAAGATACATCAATGAGTATATATACTAAATGTACAAGATACATCAATGAGTATATATACTAAATGTACAAGGATACATCAATGAGCATAGATAACTAAATGTACATCAAGATTCATGTACAGGACACATCAATGAGTATATACTAAATGTATCATGAG